GATGGGTCTCATAAATGAGACAGTTGTTTATGTTGTTCCACCACATCAWCTCWGTCAGTTTTATTTATAAAACACATAAAACAAGTAAAGTTGTCCAAAGTGCTTCACAGTTCAGGTAAAAGAATAAAACTATTGAGCAACACATAAATGTGGACAATAAAATCTATTTAAAATACAAAAAACACAACTTACTGCACATCCTCAACACAACAAGCTGTGATGTTCAGATGGATCAGAACCAGAACCAGAATCAGAAAAACTCCTTTTATTTATAAAAACTTTAAACTGGGCGGGGCCTGATGCAAGCCCCGCCCCCTGCCTGCTGCTATGGTAACCAGATAATTAAGTGGCAGAGTTTTATTCTTTGTGTTCTGCTTTAAAACGTGCAGTGAATGGATCGGAACCAAACAGAACCGAACCGAACAGGCGATCGTGTAACAGAACTGTCAGACCCTGGACTGGTTCCGCTCAGCTGGACTCAGCTCTCAGTCCAGATCCTGCTGGACCCTCAGAACCTGTAGACCCGAACAGAACCGGGCCAGGCTGTGTTTCTGAGGCCCGGTACCGGTCCCGCGGGCTGCTCGGTCCGGATCTCCTGATGTGATCATGTTTAGGTGTGTCCCGGCAGGCTAACCCCCGAGCTACATGCTAACCCGGACCGATTACCGGTACCGACGAACCCACGGGCCGAGCACACTCTACACGGACGGGTCAGGGAGGGTCCGTGAGCCGGTCCGGACACGGATCAAACGTGCCGACCCGTTTCAGAAGGTTCGTTTGGACCCGAACACAAAGAAAGGCTGACGGCAGTTCCGTTGGCCACACAGCTCAGCCTCCTGTCACACAGACACACAAACACACACAGACACACAAACACACACAGACACACAAACACACACACCTTTGAACAGGTAGTCGTACTCGTCGTCTCTGGTGCCCATCTTCTCTACAACACACGGCTGCTTCGGTTTTTAATGATTAAAAACACGATGTTTTACTTTCTAACGGAACCTGATGGAAACCGTCTCTTCTTCTCTGGAAGCTCGGCGGCAGCGCGGAGACAGCGCGGAGACAGCGCTGCCCCCTGGAGGCCGCAGGAGGAACTGCTTCCGGTTTCTACCTGGACCTGTGGTGCTCAGGTAAGCTGCTGCTGCCTSTCATCACATGTTTAACTGTGACAGCATCTTTGGAAAGATAACATTAATAACTTATTACAAAACAAATCTAATGCCACTCAGATGAACAGTTGTTGAAATATATRATAATATATGAATTTAAAACAGTTTAAAATGTCTTAAGAAGATGGTCATCACTGCATGTCAATATGACAAATAAACATGATAATTACTGCTATCATTAATGTTACTGTTTTGTTTGAAGAAATTGTCACTACTGTGTTATGATTTATTGAAAAATGTTGATGTATTAAAAATTATTGATGCAAAAANACAATAATTACAAATTAAAGTTTTTTTAGTATTATTATTATTATTACAGCTTTAAACAACATTCATGAGCACCACTCAAACAGAACAGGTTTTCTCAGAATCATTTCAAAGTTCCTCTCATWAAAACCACATATCTGTTGCTAAAAAGGACTTTTCATAAAACTACTTAGTTGTGAAGACGTGGACGCACACAGAGACGTGTGTTCTCAGTCAACACTCTCAGCGCTGTCTGACTGCAGCGCCTGAACTCCACCGGAGGCATTTCATCAACGTCAGGCCGGCTTTGAAACCCTCCTGTGTCAGGCCACACTCACAGGAGAACAGGAACGAGCCACAGCCCTGAAAACGGCCTGAAAGAGACCCTTAATGCCTCGACGGCTCGCTCACTTGGGGTCTCTGAGGGAAGGAAGGAGGGGGGCGGGTTGTCAACAGAGCAAGAGCATTAATAACAGAGAAATACTTTTATTTTATTGATAAATATTCATAAATCTATAAATAATTCTACTTGAGTTTTCATTTTATCTGCAACATAGTGAACAGTTTTAAACAAAGTAAGACTTTAAGATACAAAAACCTCTGAGACAAAGCGTTAAAATATTATCCAAATCTATTGTCATGAACCAAAACAATGACTTTAACTATAAATTTAACATTGTAACAACCACCAGCTCAACAAAGATGTTTTAATTTGGCTTATAGTGATGATTTAAATGTCAGGGTTAGTTGACACCAGTGCTGCCTGCATGTGTGTTTTTTATCCACGTTTTATGATCTGCTCTAAAACGTAACATAATCTTAGTCTTTAAAATCAAAACTCAAGATGAACAGATCATTTAAGTTTTATATCCTGTGGCTCCCAACCTGGGGGGCCCACTGCCTTGTCTGCTCAGAGGTTGTGAAAATATAAATAAATTGTTTAAAACAATCCCATTTGAATAAACAAACTCAACTCAGTTCATCTTTTGTACTTTTCCAAATAAAAAAGTTAGTAAGATAGTGAGATAAAYGTGTCTTTTCGTAGAGGTGTTGCATTGASTCCCTCCATTCCACTAGGGGGCACTATAGTTTCCAGAGATGGGGACTCGTGACTCTGACTTAAACTTGAGTTGCAATTAAGGCTGTGTCCAAAACAGCAGGCCGGGTCCTCTGAAGGCCGAATTCATCGGCCGCATACGTCACWGCGCCGCGACGAAGGACGTCCAAAACCGAAGACTCCTTCAATGCAGCCGACAAATACGTCCTTCCTTTCCCCCGATTTGAAGGACAGGTCTGATGGATCCTTCCCGGCCCACCGTATCCCATAATGCATTGCGGCCTGAGATTTTTTTAAGCTAGTAATGGCGGACGAAGCGAGAGAAAAGAATACGTTTTAAATAAAAATATGGCGATATAAAAATTAAAAAATGTTAGCGGTTGTAATTCTAATACTTATATCATTTATATAGACATGTTTTAAATATTATTTTTGTCATAAAAACCGTGAAATAACCATGCACCTACAG